TGTAATACTGTGTTTCATTCTAATGTTGTTTTTATTCTACTCCTTTTTTATTGCTCATTTCACATTTGCAAATGTAAATATTTCAATACGTCCCCCATCTTAAGATGTTTCTGGCATGAAGTTAAAGAGTTCATGAAATTTACTTTAAATGATTGGAAACAGAGCAAAACCTCCATGGATATTTTTGAGAGATTTTCCAAGGATAAATTATTTTGTTTTTTGTATGTTTTTTTGTTTTAGAGCAACGGCCTATGTTTCTTCTCTATAATTGTTTGTTTGTAAGCTCTGTATATTAGTTTGTTAGTAAAATATTTCAATAAAAAAGTTAAATTTAACATGAGGACATTTCCTTTTGATGTTAATGGAGGTCTCAAAACTAATGTTTAATCCTCCAGAATAAATCCTGCTGTTTAAAAACACTTCTGTAGAAGTTAGAGGATCAAAAGTAAAAGTAAAAGTAATGCAGGATAAAGTGTTAAGGCCAGAAGCTTTACTGCTCTACTCTATTAAAGGAACATTTTTCTATAATTCTGGATGAAAACTTCCTTAGACTTCATTATCTTAGTTTTATATTTAATGGTAACAGCGTCACATTTAACTTTGCATCATCTGGAAAAACTAAAAGTTGGGGCAGCACCGAGTCCAACCACAAAGAAATGAATGATCTGGATGAAACTAATTATTTTGTTGTTGATTTTTTAAAATACCAACAGGCCATAATGAAAAAGAGCTTAAATGAAACAAAACTAACGAGACTATTTTTAAAATGGAAGGAAATTAAAAAGTTATGTAATGACTCCAGTTTAGTACAGATAGCCAACATTTCTACTGAAGGTAAGAAAGTATTTCTACTTTGTTACTTGACATCTCTGGACGTCTCTGACTCTGTCCGTCCGTCCGTCTGTCTGTCCGTCCGTCTGTCTGTCTGTCCGTCCGTCTGTCTGTCCGTCTGCCTGCCTCATAGAACAGTCAATCTCTCTTCTTTTAAACATTAGAGTTTTTCTTTCCTTTCTGTCTTTTATTTCCTGATAGTTTGGACCTCCCGTCGTTTATGGATGAATTGTTCCTGCATCCTGGGATCTCTCCATCCAGGACCAACTGTCCATCATTGGTTTTGCTCTCTGCTTGCCACCCAGCCCAGGACTTGTTCTGCCGACCATCATCTGCTTTCACCGCCTTCTGACGGCGTCTTGGCAAAGTGTTTCGCTTTAGTTGAGGAGCTGATTTAGACGTTTTACACAGAGGAGACAGAAACATCTCCTTCCTGAACGGCTCAGCTTGAGGTTTCCTTTGTGTTTAAACCGATTTGAATGGATGAATGTGGCGCCTTCAGCAGGGGCGGAGCTAGATGAGGGGCCAGGGGTGGCCATGGCCACTACCATTTTTTACCCTCTACA